TTCCCTGCCTCGGCGGGAAGGACCGCTCGGCGCTGAAGGGGACAACACGGTTGTGGGGCTGCGCCGTTAGCGTTGCCGGGGCGCGTAGCTCGGGGTGCGGCGGGGGGGAAGTTGGGGCGAAGGAGACCGCTCCGGGGGCGCGCAACACGGCCACCAGAGGGAAACGTCGCTTACCCAGTTATTAACTGCCCTGCCGGCGGGGTCACATGGCGTCACTTCGCGCGGATTTGCGGCGCCACAGCCTGGGGTGGGAGAGAAGCCTCCCAGGCAGCAGCGTACCCCTCCGGCTGGCAAACGGAAAGCGCGAGAAGTCCGAAAAAGTCACGGATTGCGAGAATTTTCCAGAAGGAAAAACCCACCTACTACGTTCATGTTTATTTATTTTTTCAAATTTATACACCCCCTCCGCCTTCCCTGCCTCCGTCTGGTGTATTTTGGAGTAGGGGAGGGGTTTAAAATACCGTTAAAGTCTTCACGGCGTGATTTGTTTTGGTTTTGTTTACTTGCTTTTCTTTCACATAACACAATAATTATTTATCGTGCCCTCGGATTATAGGAATAAGGGATATTGTTTTAGGAATAAAAAGCACAGTACGCTTTAGGATTTGGAACAACCTAGCCCTGGAGAAGGTTTGAGATGTATATTCTATTTCTTATTAAGAATTAAAACATTATATATCACATTAAAGGCTCTATTTGTCCTTCTGAAGTCCAACCATTAGTCAGTGAATTTAAATCTTTTTAACAAAATTAAAATCGTTTGCCATCTCAGCAGAGTACTAGATATTTCATTCCCATTATTATTTCTATGCAACTGTACCACAAATCTTAAATATTATTTGGAAATATGACTCAGTCTTAATAATGCTGTCAGGAAACCAGCGGAGTATATGCATTTTCGTTTCACTCATAGAGAATTTGTAGTTGGCTAATTTCCTCACTGACCAGAAAAAATTAACCTTAGCATAGCTGCTGGATTTTTAAACCACTATCCTTCTACTGCTGAATGTGGCTTAAAAGATCAGAAAACTAAGTCACAATAACTTTATAGCAATATTATTTATTTTCTGAACATATATTTATTTTTCACGGTGGGGAGAGGCAGAGTATAAGATTTGGAGGAAGTCATGGTGATTTTCCATGTGTTCATGTTTAGGCCAACCAGACTCTATATCCTTCTTGTCATTCCAAGAAAATAAGTCTCTTTATGTCCAAACACTCTCTCATGGAGAATGTGTTCGGATTATAGAAGCAAATCCGGGTTAATACATCTACCCCATACCAAACATTATTTGGAAAATAAACAAAACTTTCCAGGTATTAGATCCTCAGAGGTTAGTCACCTCCAGCTTTAAATTTTATGCCTAACTGGGTATGCTCCATGTTTATCACAAGGGTTTAGCTTTATCTGCACATTCAATATAAACATGTGATTAATATGTCATGAACATGACCTGACTTCAAGGTCATCTGCTGGTAGAACAGTTTCCAATAAAGGAAAAGGGCATCCATTTTAAGCAAGGGAAGTTCTGAATTAATTTAGCAAAGCATTTCAATTGCTTTTAAGAGGAGCTTGATCACTGTAAGTGCAAAAATATAATACAAATAAGTTTAAAAATGTGAAAAATAAAGTGCATGTAAAGCTTTTACAGCCTAGATGAACCATCAAACGCTTTAAATAGAAAGTTATAGCATTTAAGCAACAAGAGAAAAGGAAGGAAGGAAGGAAGGAAGGGGAAAAGGGAGGGAGGGAGGACTAGAGAGGGATTTGTTCTATTTTTTATGAAGCCTGATAGATATTCGATTTTCAGTTTTGCCAATGTAGACCAAAAATTTTATCTTAAATACCATCTGTTACATCATCTCAAAGACTGTAAAGACTGCTGGTAAACATATTTGCATTATCTCCTTTAGAACATTTGCCTCATTTAAGACAAAATGTCTCTACATCAACAATTTGAAGTGATAAGAACATTTAATTAAAAAGTAAATATATCCAGTATATCGAATGATATAGTTTTAGGACTAAGTCTCATTATTTTAAACAAATCCCTGTAAAACACTGTGTTCTTGTATGAGATCGGAGGTAACTTGTCGAGAAAGAGAAGTTGTATGTATCATATATAGGACCTTGCCCATTCCTCCCTCCCTAAGGTGATCACTGATGCCTCATTCTAGAAAGATTTCTCCAAAAACACCTATTTATAAACGAATGCTGCCCAAATAAAACCCTACCATCTGATTTTTTGTTGTTTTTTTGCTCTTCGAATGAACTTTTGGTCGTTTTTTTCTTTTTAAAAATTTAAATATCATTGTCACCACAGCTATTTCCCTTACGATGCACGCTAGAAAGGCTCGCCTGCAGATGCCCCTTCCTCAGGCATAACTAAATCTGTTCGCGTTTATTCCATTTGCCCGCCTTTGGTATTCTACTTAGATTGCACTTTATTTGTTTATTTATTTTGTATATAAAAACTTGTTTAAATTCGTTTTTCAAACACTGCTCCCTTGTGATACCTGCAGACTGTTACCTGACCTTTTAGACCCACCCCTTATCCAACAAGAACTAATATGGGGAGGTGGGTGTCTAAGTTCTGTGAAGACAGACCATCGTTCCTTTATCCTGAGAGGGCCTTGGGGCATCTGTGTATCTCGAACTCGATGAGGATACCGCATTTCACCCCGGGAGGCTCACGATAAAGTGACATTGCATATTGCATTATCATGATCTGTTCTAAACTGGGGCTTAGGTGCCCAATGTAAAATGTAAACTTTAAAATTTTTTGTAAATAACTGGAAGACGTGAAATTAGGTATTTTGTTTAGAAATAACCTTCAGAATAAAACCATCTAAGGAACTGGAAGATATCCGTACGGATCCAGAGACGTAAGCTCCCATTCTTCACCTCTCGTGCAGGCATCTCGCGGGAACAGCTGAGCGGTGCGTGCTTTGCCATCCACACAGAGAGGCGCATCCTACTCTGTCCTTAACACGTTTTGGGAGAAGCTCACAAGTGCATGGGAGACAATATTTCAGGGTATCGAGGACAAATTTCACCTATGACCTCACGTCTGGATTATTTTTCCTCACTTGGGGAAATAAAAATAATATTACAGAGTCTTTAAATATGGAACCAATTTACAAAATCCACACAAAAACTCTATTTCAATGGAAGAAAATAAGAATCCAGGAAAAAGTCACTACTAACTCACATCAACTAAAGACAAGCTTTGAATTTAATAATACATTTTTTGTTTTTAACTGCGATTGGAATATGAGATGATATTAGTTTCAGATGTGCAACATAGTGATTAGACATTATATAACTTACCAAGTGATCCCCCTGATAAATCCAGCACCCGCCTGACGCCAAGTACCATTGACTACACTCCTATGCTAGACATTACATCCCGTGACTATCTTGTAACTACCAATTTATACTTCTCAATCCCCTCCCCGCTTTCGCTTAATCCTCTACCCCCTCCCATCAGGTGACCATCAAAATGTTCTCTGTATCTATGAGTTTGTTTCTTTTCTTCTTTAGATTCCAACTGTAAGTGAACTTTCTCTGTCTGACCTACTCCACTCAGCACAATGCCCTCCAGGTCCACCCATGTGGTCTCAGTTGGCAAGTTTTACTCTTTTTTATGGCTGAGAAATATTCCATTGTATATATGTATCATCTCTTCTTTAATCATTCACCCATCAAGGGACAACCAGGCTACCTCCATTTCTTGACTATTGTAAACAATGCTGCAATGAATATATGGATGCACATGTCCCTTCGAAGTAGTGTTTTGGTTTTTTTTCCGATAAATATCCAGAAGTGGGATAATGGATCCTTCTTTGTGTCTTGTTAAAACCTTTGTTTTAAAGTCTATTTTGTTTTATTTGTTTCCACTTTCATGAAACATCTTTTCCCATCTCTTTACTTACAGTCTCTCTGTGTCTTTCGATCTGCAGTGAGTCTCTTGTAGGCAGCGTATGTAAGGGTCTTGTTTGCTTATCTATTCCGCCGCTCTATCTTTTGATTGGAGCATTTATCCCATTTACATTGAAAGTAATTGTTGATAGATATGTAGTTGTTGCCATTTTATTACTTGCCTTTTTCATCTTTTTTTCTTTTTTCTTCTTGAAGAAGTCCCTCCAACATTTCCTGTAATACAGGCTTGGTGGTGATGAATTCCATTAGCTTTTTCTTGTCTGGGGAGCTCTTTATCTGTCCTTCGATTCTAAATGATAGCCTTGCTTGGTAGTAACCTTGGTTGTAGTTCCTGCTTTTCATCAACTTGAATGTTTCATGTCAATCCCTCTGGCCTGCAAAGTTTCTGTTGAGAAATCAGCTGACAGTCTTATGAGAGTTCTCCTTGTAGGGAACTAGATGCTTTTCTCTTGCTG